AGAATTTAAAAAAACGTGTCAAAATGTTTCCTCCCACTCAGTTCATTTCTTTTTTCCTCTCTCGCACAATGACTTCATGACTGCTGATCCCCTGCTTATATGTTACAGGCAGTTTACATCTGTATAGCTGGAAAGTGTAAACAAGTGCCACTTGAGACCTCTCAGAGGAGCTTACTCTTCAGTCATAGTAGCCTGAAGTGGACTTCTAAATTAGATCCACTCCTTGGTTCCAACACCCTGTTTTGCCAGACTGAAAATAGCATGAGGGGTGATGTGGTTTAATGTGTTGAGAACTGTGAAATTGCGGCAGCTGCAGAAACCCTTTTAAATGCCTCGTTCTGTATATTTATCTACCTTTTATATATGATATCTCCTTATGCTGTTTTGAGGTCTGTTGTCTAAATAAATATGTTTTAGGAGTGTGGGCAAAAGTAATATCTTTCAACAAATGCCTTTGTTGCCCACCAGAAATATTACGGCAGGAAGTCATCGGTCGGCCGGGACGTCTGTCGTCTGCGTAAAGCCTACTACAGCGCACGCCACGAAGCTGCCGTCCAGATTGACGAGATCGTGGGCGAGACGGCCAGCGAGGCCGACAGCTCAGATTCGCTGGAGCGCGACCACGGCCACCACCACGGAGGGGGGGGGCCGGGGCCGCACGACAAGGACGATGACGTCATCCGATGCATCTGTGGAATGTACAAGGACGAAGGCCTCATGATCCAGTGTGAAAAGTGCATGGTAAGAAGGAGGTGTCAAACACACATTAGGGGGGGGGAGGGATGTGGGTGACACATTTGCATTTTTACCGGCGTAGAAAGTCATTGCATCGTCATTGCTGACAAGTTATTCCTGTCAGAATGAGACACTGAGTCAACCATTGATTTGTCCGTCTAGGTGTGGCAGCATTTTGACTGCATGCGGCTGGAGAGCGAGGTGGAGCACTACCTGTGTGAGCTGTGTGACCCTCGGCCTGTGGACCGGGTACGTCGATCTCCTCCACAAAGCCATTAAAGCTGGCGCTCAGTCTCTGTCTGGGCCTAAATGATCTCCAGCCTTATCTACCTGCCCTCACTCATATATGTTGTTGATGTTGTCGTCGTTACAGGAAGTTCCCATGATACCCCAGCCTAGCTACGCCCAGGCTGGCTCCGTCTACTACATCTGCCTCCTTCGAGATGAGCTGCTGCTACACCAAGGTAAAGAAGCCAGCAGTCACAAGCTCACAAATGGTGTCCGTACTTCTACAGCCCGCTAACAATCATGTTTGTTTGCTGAACTACAAAGAGTCAACCTCTCATTCTCTAGGGACCAGGAAGTTTGCAGGGAGCCTTTAAGTTACTCTTGAAGTCAATTCAAAGTCAAATTTGTGTGGGAAAACAACATGCATTGCATCGAGGCACAGGGTTGCAGTGGAATATATATTTGCTGTGCAACCTTTTTACCCATAATCATTTAGACCTGAGTCCGTAAAATAAATGTTACTGCACCCTCAACCTCTGACTTTTGTATCGAAGAGAGAATTTCTTGTAAAATCTCACCATCACAGAGAAGAAACCTGTCTGTGTCTTGTGTTTAGGCGACTGTGTGTATCTGATGCGAGACAGCAGACGCACACCTGAGGGACAGCCTGTCAGACAGTCTTACCGTCTCTTGTCTCATGTCAACCGAGACAAACTCGACATCTTCCGAATTGAGAAACTCTGGAAGAATGAAAAGTAAGTTAATCAAATGTAGCACCTTGAGCCACAGGCTTGGTGCACTGCAGATGATTATTGTGCTCCTCGAGCTGCACTACAGTGTTTAACTTGCTGGCTCCTTCTGTATCCACTCCCAACTCTAAAGGGGGGAGAGATTCGCCTTTGGCCACCACTACTTCCGTCCCCACGAGACGCACCATTCTCCATCACGCCGATTTTACCAGAACGAGTTATTCCGCATGCCGCTCTACGAGATCATCCCCCTGGAGGCAGTGGTGGCAACCTGCTGCGTCCTCGACCTCTACACCTACTGCAAAGGTGAGGGGGCGGGAGCGCAAACTCACAATCTCCTCCCTAACCGGCCTATCGACCAAGTAGTACACCCACCTCCTCAACAGCCACCACACCACACTGAGCTCCGACTTTCTCCAACAAAATCATACCAGAACAACTGTACACGTTTTGTTTTTTCTTACCTTATTATGGTATAAATCACAACAGTCTCTAGCGAATACAAAACCTGTTCCTCCCTACAGGACGGCCGAAGGGTGTGAAAGAGCAGGACGTGTACATCTGTGATTACCGCTTGGACAAGTCCGCTCACCTGTTCTACAAGATCCATCGGAACCGCTTCCCAGTCTGCACCAAGCTGTATGCCTTCAACCACTTCCCCAAGCGGCTCGCACCCAAAAGAGACTTCTCGGTGAGAGGGATGGGGTCGTGAAAGAGTGGGGCTGCCGCACTGGGATCTGTTACTGATTTATAAACACTGAGCGATATTTTAAGGGTGGAGATGATATTACAGGCCAGGGCACATTTTAATTTGTTACTTGGAAACGAATGACAGAACAGCTTTTTGCTTCTGAATGAAACTAGTTTGTTTTGCACTGATCCGGATCCAAATATCGATGAAATGCTTGTGAATTGTGTAACCAATTATGCCTACGAGGAATTGTGATGCAAAAATACTTGTTTTTGCTCTCATGGAGGACCAGATGGAAGTTTTACTCCATTGAATTAGTCCAGAGGCATGTTTATTAAATCACACAGTAAACTTTTAAGATCCCTGTGATTTATTAACAACGTCGCACTACTTTTATTAATTAGAAAATAAATTGGAACCAAATCTGATCGTGACATTCTTGCAGCCTCACTACGTTCCTGACAACTACAAAAGGAACGGGGGTCGTTCTGCCTGGAAGAGCGATCTACCCAAAGGAGCCGCAGGCTGTGAGGACGACGACTCCCCCCGCGAGCGCGCCGACGACTTCCCACCCGAGGCCGAAGGCGGAAGAGGAGAAGAGGACGACGCAGACAAGAATCCGGACGAACCTGAACTTTCGGCGAAGCCCCGAGGAGCGGAAAGGGAACGGGACGGGGAGGGAGACGAGGACGAAGACGAGAAGGAGGAAGAAGAGGAAGGGCAGGAGTCCGAAGAGTGCAAGGAGCTGGAGGACCCTTCTGCGGAGAGAATGGGCGAGATGCTGGAGCTCCCGTCATCGTTGGCCTCCTCGCCGCTGCACCACCCGGTGCTGGGCAGGAGGGACGCCCAGAGGGACCGGCTCAACAAAATTCTGCTGGATCTGTTGTACAGAAGTCCCAACAAGAATGGTGAGGGACCGGGATCGAAGCAGGGGGGTAGGTCATCAAATCATTCCGGCTTTTCAACTTTTCGATTACTTGCATCCGTTGTACATGTTGGATAAAAAGTGGTTTTTTGTTATGCTCTCTTTTTTTTAAAGTTTAGCCGCTAATCTTAGTGCTCTGAGTGACATTCTGGTGATCTGCTATATTTTGCCAACAATGACTCTGCTGTTGTCGCTGTAGCCAAAGGCTGATACAACCCAGCCCCCCACGTATCCCGCCTCTGACTCTAGACTTGCATCTTGAGATGCTATTTGGACTGTAAATGCATCTGTGGCGCTGCCTGAAGCACCGTGGTACGGATTGTATTTTTGTTGAGCATCTGTCAGTTACTCGTAACTCCCCTTTTGGCTGGTTTCCAATAGCTTCAATCCTTTACCTCTGATTACTTTGATTTAAAATATAGCTGTTTCTCAGCTCTTACCTCCTCCCTTGTGTTCTTTCCACAGCCATAGATGTCTCTTATCTCCTGGAGGAGGGTGCGGGCCGGCGGCTACGGCGGCGGGCGCTCGGATTCGGGGATTTCGTGGGCAGAAAATAACTTTGCCTTGTGCCTGTCGAGCACACTGCACTGCTTTTCCTGTTAGCGAGCAATGGGCAGAACGCGGAGAGACATCGAGAAGGGAAGTGCTGCATTGTTGGTTGTCCGACCATTAAGGACCACAATGCCTCCCTCGGGGCCTCTTCCGGGTTACCTCTTCCAAGACTGGTCATCTCAACTCTGAGAGGGTGTTTGGAAGCGCTGACTCCATGGCAATTTCAACTTTTCAACAGTGCTAGGGGAGCACGAACAGAGAGAGCTGACTCAGACTTCTTGCTTATTTGAGTAGAACGATGCAAAACCTCTTTTTTTTTTTTAAATGAACATAGGAGAAATAACCCATGCACTTAAATGCATTGAATATTACAGACATGGGCAGATTAATTCCCCTATCAAGCATCAGCAAATCAAACAAGTGGTACTGAATAAGGATGGAATGGTGGTGTCAGTCAGCAGGGAAGTGCATGCTGGAGATTTGTTCCCCCTAGTGGGAGCTATTTGCAATGACAAAGTATAACATGATGAGAGAAGATCAGCGCCGGGACACGTGGAGGAGAACGGCGTCGGAGGAATGCAAGCTGAGCGCCGCCCTCAGATGCTGAGAGAGAGAGGACGTGGTGAACTGCACTTTTTGGTACCATGGATATTGTGAAGCTCTGTAATGTATCTATAACAAAAACAAACGTAACACTCTCCCAGTATTAGATGATGCAGTCTGAAAAAAAACAAAAATTAAAAAAAAAGGCGAGTCTATTAACTTTTTCTTATCCGGTAGTAATTCATTTAGGAGAGGAGGAGGCAGAGGGGGTGTGCTTTTTTTCTGGTTTAAAAGGAGGGGAGAGAGGATGAGGTGCGCTTTTTCCAGTCAAAGTTTCATGTGGAGGTTTAATTTTTATTTTTTCATTTTCTTGCGAGGCATTCAGTTTTGCCCTTTTTACCATGTTTCCCCAGTTTAATAAATCCAGGGGTTTGGGGGGGGGGGGGGGGGGGTCACCGGCTTCAACTGTAACGCCTTACACAGCCGTGCTCTCCGACTGCCTTGTGTGTGTGTGTGTGTGTGTGTGTGTGTGTGTGTGTGTGTGTGTGTGTGTGTGTGTGTGTGTGTGTGTGTGTGTGTGTGCGTGCGTGCGTGCGTGCGTGCGCGTACACACTTGGTGTGTGTGTGTCTGTACTCGATTTCTTGCAGATATACCTTTTTAAAAAAAAAATGGATTAAAAAAATGAAGGGCTCTATGGCAATTAACAGTTTTAAGAAAACTATGGAAAGAATACTTAACATAAAATGTATTGTGATGGTCATATTTTCTTATATTCTGTGAGACGGGTGGGGCGGTGTATATTGGGAGGGCAAGGGACATAAAACTTTTTCTTTCTTTACACTTTGTTCCTGGTTGCCATGGAGAATGTTTTGAAAAAGAAATTGTGATATTTAACAAGATTTCTTTTCCCCCCAAAATGCCTCTGCTAAAAAAGGACAGCCTGCAATGTCCCAGTGCGGTTAACAAGAACGAGACACTGACGTGCGGACGGAGGGGGAACGGGAAGCCGTACAGTGCCAAGTTATGTAAATATACACACTTACATTGAAGAGTGTCTCCAAAAGCAATATCTTGAAAAATGGATTTTGTTTATTATTGTACTGTGCAAGACTCAGCCCTAAATGTATTATGATTATTATAATATTATAATTTCTTCCGTTTGTATTACTACAATGAAGACACTTAAGCTTGGAGGGAAATTATTTTATTTTGAGGTCCATAAAAGCTTACCACAACTTTCCGAATAACATAGAAACTTAAGCTGAGTTTTCGTTGCCTATTAATGAAATTCATCGATGTACTGCATGAGCCAGAAGAATGTCGAATGGACACAGAAGACATTGGGACAAGACAGTGACTCAGCGAAGACACCTTTGTCACTGAATATTGTTAATAATATTACTTTTTAAGGGGAAACTTACCCCTTGTTTTGCTGCAAAGTGTTGAACACTAAAAAAACAAACCAACATAAAAATGTTATGATATTTTTAAAACGTTGACGGAAACAAAAATATAGCTGTCAATCCAATATCACGTTATTCCTTTTGTTTTATTTTTGAAATAGGAAATGGTTTTTGTTTTGTGATAGCAGTCATTGTATGATGTTTGTGTGATTTGTTTAGTTATTTTTAGACAATCACAAAATAAGATGCAAGCATTGTAAATGGCAGACTGGCGGACATTTTGTGATGTGTACAGTTTGTCAAAATACTTCTTCCACTCGTTAAACGTTTGTAATTATGATTATTAAGTCATGAGAAATGCTGTTGGTTTTTACTTTTTGTTTTATATTTGTTTTTTTTTAATAAAAAAGCACTACATTATTGTGAATACAATCTGTCGTTGGGCTTTTAATATTCTTTAGATTGCAAAATAAGAAGGCTGGAACTCTGATTATAAACCTTATGTGGTATTTCAGAAAAAAAAGTATAATTATATTCTAAAATTCAGCTATGATGAAGAATGAGCGTTAACCATCATGAGAGTTAGACATCATGCAAGAACTATCTATCAGTATAATTATTATATTGATAATAATAATGGCAACAATCACCTTCTAAAAGTTACAAATTTGATTACGAAAATAATTATATGATTAATAAACCCACCACTGCAACATATTATTGAAATAATGAATTGATAAACTACCACTAGTTAAATGAAAGATTATTCCCAAATGTGTCAGTATCAATTTGGCGGGACAAACCACCTTTTGAAAAAATAAAAATGTAATAATAAATCTACGTTGTGATGAACTGTAATTAGCAGCAACTCGTAATATTATTGGGCACGTGGTTAAACAACACTTTACCGTGATTGTTGATGTGTTCAACACCTTTACTTACGTAAAGGACACATAACGTTTCCCCAAAAAGAAAATCTTAACAAACTGGGATTTCCAAACAACCTCAAAGTAAAATCCCCAAAAGTCTCGCGATGCTTCCGATTGGCTTCAGTCGGTTACCGTAGTAACGCCAATGACGCCGAGGAGTTTCCTTTTTCTATTGTAGGGTTACAGCGACGTTAGCAAACGTATCTACACCTGTTTGATTAACCACGATTTGACTTGGAGAAACAACAATGTCTAAAACAGACCAGGCAGAGGCCTCTAAAGACGCAGGTGAGACGACGCGTCCTTCAACAGGTGCGCAGTCCTTTAATTTGCCGGAAGTAGCTTGGGAATTGTTAGTTAATAACACACTATATAATTTCCGTTATGACTAAAAGTACAAGTCCTGTATAACTTTGTAAAAGAAAACACAACATGTACTCATGTGGTATAGAAGAGAGACCCCTGTTTGTGTTTTATATTTCGTTGGAGTAAGAAGTGAAATATTTAGCCGTTGTACGTTGAAAAGACGTTTCTTTCTTTCAAAGTCATTTTCCTATACGGTAATATGTGGTATATTATTATTATAGAGGTTTAAAAAGAAACAACGTCCACATGTGTAAGTTTATGATTCATCCACTTTTTAGCCGGTTGAAATGAGGTCTCAGACGGTCGGTCCGCATTTCAACACAGAGTTCAACTTTGAAATGACGTCTTCTGCCCCCTGGGAAGCAGAATAATACATTAATAATACATGTTTGGAAATTATACTCTGATGTTATACCTCGTTACTAAGTAGTAGTTTTGAAATAATCAAAACAGCGTCGTCTTGATTATTTTATTACAAATGTTCTTTACTAAATGTCATAAAAAACATGTCATGTTGTGTACATCTCATATGTAAGAGTAATAACTTTGTTGTTGTTTCTTTGATGCATAACTATGATATGATAATTCACAAGTGGTCAATAAGCTGGAGAATTGCTAAACTCTGTCTGTTCTGTTGTTTTTAGGACATACTCCAAATGAAGAATTGCCTGCTGGGATCTTTGGTTGGTAACTAACTCAAACTTTTCATTTTTTATAATGTGAGAGTTTTATTGTCTTTGCTTTAAACCTTCCACCGCACAGACGGATATCAGTGCTCAGGCAATGTGGAGACTGACTTCCGTGAGCTTTGTGCTCTTCTGGACATGAAGAATATCCCAAACGTCACTTGCACCACTGAAGTTGACGAAGTGCTCACATACCTTAAATCTGATCAATATTTAGATTTTCCAAACAGGCACTAATCTAAGTAATCTAACAATACGAACCAAATCAAATTGGACCCGTGACGCTTGATACACTGGAAATAAGTTTCCCTGTACTATAAAGTGCATCATGTGTCAGGGTTGGGTAGGAAGGCAGGACTCAAATGCAGAGTTCGAGTAACAAAAAGACTTTAATAGTCATAAACTCCAACAAACAAAAGGCCAAGGAGCAAAAACGCATACAGGTACCAGGGGGGAAAAAAGGTTACCCGGGGACACGAGTGGCAGAAAACTACAAAATAAGACAGGAAGTGAACCACACCGTACCCCCCCCCCCCTCTAGGGCCAAATCCCAGACGGGCCTCGACTAAAAGAGAGCAGACCAGGGGCGGGAGGTAGGGAAAACCAGAGACGTTGGTCCGGACCTCCCGGGAAACTTTGGCGGCGGACCCGGCAGGACACGCCAATAATCGGGGAAGCTTCTGGGGGTCGGCCTGGCAGACCGGCCATTTGGCCCGGCTCCGGAGCACCGACTGCAGGCACAGAACGTCTCCGGAATGGCTGGCTCAGGGACACGGAACACCTCCGGAGTAGTCGTTGGCGGCTCGGGGACACGGAACACCTCCGCAGTAGTCGTTGGCAGCTCTGGGACACGGAACACCTCCGGAGTAGTCGGCGGCGGCTCGGGGACACGGAACACCTCCGCAGTAGTCGGCGGCGCGGGGACAGGGAACACCGCCGCGGTCGGCGGCGGCTGCTGGGGAACAAGGAACACCTCCGGAGTAGCCGGCTCAGCCCCCCCCCATAACTCCCCCTCAAGGGCCAGATCCCAGACGGCCCTCAAATCACCAACGGGAGGGTGGGAGAGGACCATGGGATGGGAGGGAAGGAGTCTGAGTCTCGGAGAGGGGACTGGAGGCGTCAGGGTCATAAGACTCCGGGCCGGTACTGGCCGAGTCGGGGTCAGGAGCAGTGCTGTAGTGGTAAAATTAGAGGTGGGTAAACTCTGAATTTTGTGATCATACAGACCTCGACGCGATGCGAAGCAACGCAACACAAAGCGTCGCGACTCTTGTAAGGCTGTCCTGGCTATATTGCATTATGTTATCAGTAAAAGTCATATACAATCAATGACAATGAATACATGTGTATGAACAACATAAGTTAAAGGAACACTCATGTACTTTATATGTCATCATAAATAGCCCATACAGCATGTTTTTTTCATGTTGAGAACTGACTTGTTTTCTAATCTACGCGCCACCAGGCGTTTTTCTTGTCCTTTTACCGTGCACGACCAGCGAACACAGAGCGCGCGACTACTACCCCCCCGTCGGTCGTTCCGCCCTCAACGACTACTACACCCCGCCCCCCCCGTCGGACCTTCTCGACCGGTCCGCGAAATATTGTCTGACATGAAACCGGTCCGTGAGGTAAGAAAGGTTGGGGACCACTGGGCTGATCCACAACGTGTGTTTACACACCTCCAGGATCCTGATTGGTGTCGCTGCTGCAGCCGCAAGGCACTGATTGGATGCTCACAGACCGTAATACAGCGCAGATGAAAATGATTCAGACTACGGCGTTTATATGTTCAACAATAGGAAACGTAGTCTTAGCTGTTTTAAAATTACACCAAGTTTATTTCGGATTATTCCAAAGGAAGAATACAAGCCGCAGGGAACTTTGAGGTGCGTAAACGCTATTTATAGGCTATTTCAAAAATTATAGAGGTGCGTAAACAGCGTTTACGTGCGTTTACCCTCCACTACAGCCCTGGTTATATTATATAGTTTATCACTGTATAATCATTTTTACTTGTATGGTGACTAACCATTTAACTTCATGCCCCCTCAACGGTAAAACATATTAATTAATACATGAATTTAGTATTTAGTAATAGAACATAACAAATAAAAAAGGACAACTAGATGTGTTAATGATTGTCTTGAACATCAACCCCGAGAACAAACCTTCTGATTCGTTGGCTGATTTTAGTCACTAAAGATGGTTGAGATCAAGTTACCATTAACATTGGAGTGAGTAAATTATCCTATTAGAATTTGTCATTTTGGGAGCAGTTAACACACATTTGTCTGATCCGTTTTTTATCATATTTATTTATTCATCTATCTTAACTGTAGGAATGTTGAAGGGCTGCAGCTCGCATGCTACAGCGTGGCGGTTCATTGAGTTTCTGATTGACAGCGTGGGAGAAAAGATGTCGTCTGTCGTCCAGCAGCAGAGAGAACGAACAGACATTCGTAACTCTGGAGTTGCACTTGACTGCGTCATTAGAGACGCTCACACGTCCCGATGAACTTGGGGTTTGAATTTGCTTTATTTGTAGAGAATTTAACTTGTTTGTGCTTTGAGTTGCCTGACTTCATTTTTTAGAAGCATTCATGTTTTAATCAAAATGTTCCATATCGGAAACATGTTCATTGACTAAATATTTTCTTCTTCCGCCTGATGTCTGATTACAGGAGGAAGTGAGTCAACAATTGAAATCAGGCTTAAAATGTCGACTGAAACCTTTGTGTGTCATTAAATACACAAACGCTCATTAACTCAAGATCATTGTTGTTTCACTTCATTCAAATCAACGAGTAATAAAGAACATGTGATTCTCTTTGGTCTGAAGAAAACAAGACGGATTCATTTGGTTTTATTTTTATTAAAATTTATTTTCATTGTTAAAATAATAAACAGACGACATATTTAACAATAATAATAACACAATCATTGGGAAAACATCTGAAGCAGTTCCTGAGAAGAGAGAAAAGAAGAAAAGTTATTAACATGTTAATGTTGTTAGTGTGTCTGTGTGTACATCTAATTGTTAGTGTGTCTGTGTGTACATCTAAATATTAATATGTCTTTGTTTAGTACCAAATGTTAGTGTGTCTGTGTGTACATCTAAATATTAGTGTGTGTCTTTGTGTACATCTAAATGTTAGTGTGTGTCTTTGTTTAGAACCAAATGATAGTGTGTCTGTGTGTACATCTAATTGTTAGTGTGTCCCCGATGACGTGGCGTCCCGATGGCGTGGCGTCCTGATGGCGTCCTGATGGAGTCCTGATGGTCTGCAGACAAGGAGAAGAGACATGAGGAGGATCATCAGGATGTGTCCGTGTGTACATCTAATTGTTAGTGGGTCGGTGTGTAGATCTAATTGTTAGTGGGTCTGTGTGTACATTTAAATATTAATGTGTCTTTGTGCAAAACCAGATGTTGTGTGTTTTTGTGTACTTCTGAATACTAATGTGTCTGTGTGTACATCTAATTGTTATTGTGTCTTTGTGTACATCTAAATATTAGTGTGTGTCTTTGTTTAGAACCAAATGATAGTGTGTCTGTGTGTATATCTAATTGTTATTGTGTCTTTGTGTACATCTAACTATTAGTGTGTGTCATTGTTTAGAACCAAATGATAGTGTGTCTGTGTGTACATCTAATTGTTAGTGTGTCTGTGTGTACATCTAAATATTAATGTGTCTTTGTGTACATCTAAATGTTAGTGTGTGTCTTTGTTTAGAACCAAATGTTAGTGTGTCTGTGTGTACATCTAAATGTTAGTGTGTCTGTGTGTACATCTAAATACTAATATGTCTTTGTGTACATCTAAATATTAGTGTGTGTCTTTGTTTAGAACCAAATGATAGGGTGTCTGTGTGTATATCTAATTGTTATTGTGTCTTTGTGTACATCTAAATATTTGTGTCATTGTTTAGAACCAAATAATAGTGTGTCTGTGTGTACATCTAAATTTGCCAGCGTGTCTAAATTTTACTGTGTCTCTGAGTACATCTGTGTGTGTGTGTGTGTGTGTCATGAGTAGATCTGGATTTGCTCCTGAGGGGTTGACGCAGCGTCCTGATGGCGTCCTGATGACGTGGTGTCCTGATGGCGTCCCGATGACGTGGCGTCCTGATGGCGTCCTGTTGGTCTGCAGACAAGGAGAAGAGACGTGAGGAAGATCATCAGGATGTGTCTGTGTGTACATCTAATTGTTAGTGTGTCCGTGTGTACATCTAATTGTTAGTGTGTCCGTGTGTACATCTAATTGTTAGTGTGTCTGTGTGTACATCTAAATGTTAGTGTGTCTGTGTTTACATCTAAATGTTAGTGTGTGTCTTTGTTTAGAACCAAATGTTAGTGTGTCTGTGTGTACATCTAATTGTTAGTGTGTCTGTGTGTACATCTAATTGTTATTGTCTTTGTGTACATCTAAATATTAGTGTGTGTGTGTGTCATGAGTAGATCTGAATTTGCTCCTGAGGGGTTGACGCGGCGTCCTGAT